GGCTCTGCCCTCCAGCAGGGCTCTTGGAATACTGGGAAACCTTCCCTGAATATCCTAGAAAGCAGGGCTACTCAACACGAAGCCCGTTTGTTTGTGGCCTGAGGCGTAGTTTGAGTTTATGCAGGGCTCAACACGTGGGGTGAGATCCTTTGAATGTGGCCTCCACTAGAAGCATGCTACACAACGGCGAGGCGTCTCTCAAGCAGGGTGAGCATTGAAAGACGCAAGCGGCCGGGCAGCCTGGAACAGAAGGGTCCAGGGTGTCGGCATTTCTAGTCCCCAGGGAGGAGGTGCCGGGAGCGCTGGGGCATTGTGTGAAAGAAGCTATTTGCATATATTTGCATGTATATACAACCACATTTCAGTTGCAGCCCTCAGCATGTGCTGTAAGTATCACTGTGGCCTCCGGGGCTTCCAAAGTTGAGTAGTCCCACTGTAAAGGAACAGGCGTTGAGTCAGCATGACGGGATTGGGACCCTTTAGGGGTATGGAAGTGGATTCAAGGAGCTTCACATCCATTCTGTGTGAACAAGCTAAATCCAGGGATCTCCAGCAAATAAGCACACTCCATCCAACAGGGAGATCTCGCCGGACGTGCCCTGGAAGGGAGAGCTTGCTTCTGAGAGGCAACGGACTTCCAGCGGTTTGCGAGGGCAGGGGACTAGCGTCTGTGTTATAAGAGCGGGGAGGTGTTTCAAGCGCATCTTCACCGAGGCAGCTGTTTGTGAGCTTAGGGCGACACCATGTGGCCAGGCCACGAGGGAAGAACCCTTTGGAGCGAGCTGGTTCTCGCAGTGGGGTTCTCCGAGCAGGGTTTTTCTAGTGTCTTCTTTGGGACAAGAAACTGGCTCCTTCCCCACACACTGGAGCCCGTGTGGTGACCGTGGGCAGGCCCCGGCTGGATGGATGGAGCTGTGGCAGGAGGCTGGAGTGGCCAGCCTATGACCCAGCTTTTATCCAGCACTTTGCCTCTTTCGATCTCAAAGTGCTTCCCAAAGGAAAGAATCACTGCGGTTGGGAAACTGAGATTCTGAGGGGAAGTGACTTACCTGGGGTCACCCAACAGGCCTGGGACAGAAACAGCATCCCCAGCCACACCTGATCACAGCCCCAAGGAGGAAAGGATGCTACTTCCTCTAACTCCCCGAAATTCTGCATGGCCGGGGAGGCCTCTGAGTCCTGATTTGCTACACGATTTTGTACAATCGCTTTGCTTATGATTTCCACCTGTGCATGTCACTACTGCGGGAGCACCGGGCCGAGACTTCCCTGCCTATGTCTGTGTGCGCATCCTCATGCTTGCTTAGCACGGAGCTTTAACTGAGGTTCGGACATCTGTACCACAGGAATTCTTTCCGTGTTCCCCAAGAAATCTTCCAAAAGAGCCCGTTGCGATTCTGAAAAGGTTTCCCATTCCACAGTGGAATGAACCTAAGATCTTTAGAAACGAGAGAGACGCCTCCAGCCCTGGACAGCCAGTAGCCCAGTGATTAGGACCGTTGGTTGGGGAGCCACGATCTCCACAAACTCGGTCACCAGTGCCACAACACGCTCACAAGGGCTTTCTCTGCTGCAGATCCTGGGTACATTCTAGTTTGCTGGACTCAGATGACCAATTCTGGGGTCCCCATTACAGAAAGGATGTGGATGCATTGGAGAGGGTCCAGCGGAGGGCAACAAAAATGATTCGGGGGCTGGAGCATATGACTTCTGAGGAAGGGCTGAGGGATTTAGGCTTGTTTAGTCAGCAGAAGAGAAGCGTTTTGATAGCAGCCTTCAGCTCCCTGAAGGACGACTCCAAAGAGGATGGAGAGAGGCTGTTCTCAGTAATGACAGATGGCAGAAGGAGCAATGGTCTCAAGTTGAATTGGAGGAGGTCCAGGTGGGATATTAGGAAAAACAATTTCCCTAGGAAAGAGGTGAAGCGCTGGGATGGGTTCCCTAGGGCGGGGGTGGAATCTCCATCCCTAGAGGGTCTTAAGTCTCATCTTGACAAAGCCCTGGCTGGGTTGATTGAGTTGGGGTTGGTCCTGCTTTGGGCAAGGGGCTGGACTCGATGGCTCCTGAGGTCTCGTCCAGCCCTGGAATTCTATGTCTTGCCTATTTAGATTTTCAGCTCCTTAGGGCGGAAATGGTCTCTTACTAAGCGTGGGCACAGCCCCTAGCCGAGTCTTACACAGACTGACTAACGTCTCTCTTGCGGCTCTTCGCAGCACGAGATATTAAAACGCTGTGTGACCACTAACTTAAGTGATTAACCAATCAGGATACTTGTGCTACGTTATTAACCAACTGTTGTTGATAAAATACCATCCTGTCTTTTGTACTACCTGGTCAGTCGTTTTGCTGTGAGAATTTATCTATAGTAAGTGAAACAACGAATTCACATGACTAGCTCTTTTGGAGAACGCTGATCGTTAATTTGGCTCCTGAATTACTGAGTTCTGAGTATCACTGACGAGCACAACAAGCTGGGGCCTCTATGTCCTCTGGGAACACGATCAATCCTGATTTGCACGTCTGCTGCCCGTGCTACCCAGTTCTGGGAAGGCACCGAGGATTTCAGTCTCCAAGGCTCTCAGCCTGCTACCTTCTATTAATTATTGAAGTTCCCTTTTCAACTATCGGATACAGACACTCTTCTGCTGATGGGAAAGAGAATGTTCAGAAACACAGCCACGCTGTTCGTAAGCGCAGATCCTCATTTACGACCGCTTTGGTGATGAGTGGAGGCGGTCGTAACTTGAGAAGCGGCTCCTCTGGGCCTAATTCTTCCCTGGGGCCAGCACCTCGTGCTTATCAAACCCCCTTGTCTGGGAGTCTGTTCAAGAACTCCTCCTAAACCGTAAGAGTGAGGACCACCAAGCCTGGAAGGCAGCGTCCTCGGATCCTAGCTTAAAGCCAGGTCGGGGTTTGGTTGTGTCAGGACAACGGGAAGCCCCGGAATGGGATTGTTTTCCACAACACGGAAAGGGAGGGGCTGCTCGGAGGGAGGAGACGGAGAGAGTGGTCACTGGGGAGGGGCCAGCCGCACCACCAAGGGAGTAGCCATCAGGGCTGGGGCTCCGCCATCTTGCCTACCAGCACACTGGGTTAGTAGCCCCCTGCCCCAAACCTTTCGCCCTCTTCCAAACCCTTGGCCACGATGTGGGGGGGGAAGGAGGAGAGAAAAAGTCCCTGGCAGATGGGACCCCCCCAACCCTCACTCTTAGCCCTCCCCCACCCTTCCCCCGATACCCCCAAGGCCCTGCTCTGACACTGCCAGCTTCCTGCCCTGAGGGGCCCAGGCAACGCCGGGTAAGCCTTCTCTCCTCTACAAATTGGCGAGGCTGAGGGGAATGGTGACAGGGTGAGTGGGGTGTCCGGGCTACATCGCCCCCATTGGTTGGATTTGTGTGCGCGTTCCTGGCGCCGCACCCCGGGCAGTCCAGCACCAGACAGGTGGGCAAAGGTGGCGCAAAGCCATTTCCCTGGGCGGTGCCTGCCTGCGCCGCAGGCCTGCGCCACACAGCACTGACCGCCAGCGCAGGAAATGAGATAAATCGGGGGGGGGTCAGGACCTACGGGTGCCAAGCTGATGGTCAGTCCCAGATCTCTGCACCATTAGCTGCTGTGGCCATTACCTCCTCCGGGCGACAGAGCTCGCAGGGGTTCCCCTTTCGTTTTCCTGCCGACACGATGCTTGTTGGCGGCGGAGGGCCATTCTCTTTTCAGGCCGCGTGAGCGGAGCGGGCACGTCCACGGAGGCCGAGCCTGCCCTCAGGAAACACAGAGACGAGGAAACGGTACGCCAGCCGTTTATTGTCAAGCGCCTACCCACTTCCAGGTAGCGTCCACGGCTCTGGGAGCGACACCCGGGGCTGCTTGCCACTGAGACCCGTATTTACAGTGCGTATCCAGACGTGCCGCACTGCGGAGGTGGGGGGGGAATCTCCGAGCCGAAGACCCGAGACCACAGGCCTACGTGCTACGCCAAAGAGGCCCAAGGTTCAGCCGGAAAGGCAGCAGCAAAGAGTAGACACACACTGGATTCCACAAAGCCCCAGGCAACTATGACAACAAACGTCTCACTCTGCTACTCAGGAGACACATTCCCTAAGGAAACGCCCTGCGCCCCGCAGGATCACAAGGACTGCGCCGCTTTATCCCCCGGCCTGGGCCGCCACAGGCATCTGCTCCAATCTGCTGCTCAGGCTAACTGGCCTGGTCCCAGACCTATAGATATAAGGCCAGGTAGGAGAGCCAGTGACTGCAGCAAAAGGGGCTATTCTGCCCCCCACGGCCGACTCGTGGTAGAATTGCAGCTGGGGCGGGTTCAGGGAAGAACTTCTGCAGCACAGCATGCCCATAAGCTGCTGCCCGCGGGGCTGGGGAGGAGCAGAAGGCAGGCTCCTGGGCTATAAAGGAAAGCTACTGCTGGCTGCAGAGACTATGCAGAGATCATCTGGGCCACTGGAGCAGTGTGGACATAGAGCTCTCCCCCGTCCCTGGGCGAGGCCCTCAGCAATGTGCCTCCATCACCCTGAACTGCACCCCAGAACTCTTAGGAAGCCCCTCCGGCCTGAGAGTCCCTGGGAAGCTGTTCCTCTGGTTAGTTATCCAGGTAACCGTCCCCACTGTACTTAATCCAGCCCTAAGAAATTACATTCATTTCCAATTTGAAACGTACCTGCAGCCCCTGGATCTTGTCATGCCTGTGTCTAGATTAAAGAGCCGCCTACTCACAGAAACCATCTCCCCACATGGGTGCTGAGAGGCTGTGATCACAGCAAAGCCCCGGGCTCCCATGAAACACTGGGCCAGTCTCCTGGGCCTGACTTTTCAAAGGTGTTGAGGCACCTAAAGGTCCAGGCAGGTGAGGAACCTCGTGGGGTTTTCAAAAGCACCTAGGAGCAGATCAGCGGAAGGGAAACACCAAAGGTCACATGACTCACAAGAGCTGGCAACGCGGGCGTTTTTCTGGAGCAACCATCTTTGGGAGGGGACACGTACAAAGGTGAAAACTCTCTTCTCCGTCAATCATTCAAACCCATCTGAGTGGGAATCTTCTGCAACTCCGGCGCTAGGGATGCAGCACCCATGTGCCCCCCAGGGCCGCCTATGGGGTCTGCTCTCCCTGCCCCAGCTCCCCCCCCATGCTGGCGTGAAGAGGGCCTGAATAACCCTTAGCTGTCCTATGCAGTGCCTGTGCGGGGGCGGGGGCGGGGAAGGCTCCAGGCAGCCAATAAGCTTTTATTACTCCTGCAGGCCACTATAACCGAGTACAGAAGTAGTTTGGGGACAGTAAAGTCAAAGCATTCGTGTGACGCTGCCCCTTCCTGCCTTACCCTCTCAGGGTCTGTCTACACTGCAATAAACACCCACGCCTGGCCCACGTCAGCTGGCTGGGGCTGCGGGGTAGGGCTGTGGTGCTTATGCACTGGCAGTGTAGACGCGCAGGCCTGGGCTGGAGTCCAAACCCAAATGTCCACATGGCAATTTTACAACCCTGCCGCCGAGCGGGCTGACACGGGCCAGGCGCGGATGTTTTATTGTGGCGTATACCCCCGGGTGTGGCCACCCCGCACGCTAAGCCAGGCTCTGACTGCGGTGCCTGTCCGCACACGTCAGCAGGCCCCAGGTGGGGGGTCAGAACCCAAGTCTCACCGCCACTGTGCAGTGTGGACACAGGTCAAGCCACAGACACAAGCCAGAAGGTCTGCGCCACCCACCAGGGTTGTGAGACAGGCCCAGCCCTGTAAACGCAGGTTTACAATGCAGTGTGGACGCTCAAGGGCAGGCTTGGAAAAAAACCCAGCCACAGACCCAGGCATACAGTGCAGTGGAGACGTATCCTGGTGGGCCACAATTCCCACTGGCAGCACTCCAGGTGGATGCCATGTGCCTGAAGAGCCGCCTCTCACCTGCACTTTGCTCTGGAGTCAGAAGTGCTCACATTTCTAGCCAGTGGCCATGCTGGCCTGTCTCCCTCATGCTCTCGTGTGCCCTACTCCAGATCCTTCCTGCTCAGAGTCTCAGGGAGGCAGGTCCCTCGTTACTGGGAGGAGAGAGAGAATTAGAAGCAGGGGTGGTGAGAATGCCATTAACCGGAGTAGGAAAGCCCAAGCCACGGAGGTTTGAACTTCTCAGCCGCTACATTAGACAGCGCATCACGGTGTGAAGGTCTCACCGGCACGTGCTGCCAGACCTTACTGTGTAGTGATTGGGACAACACCCTAGGGAGCCTGGGTTCCAGCTTCTGCTCTGCCACAGACTTCCTGTGTGACCCTGGCCATGTCACAAGCCTCTCTGCGTCTCAGGCCCCATCATAAGATATGGTTAACAGCACTGCCCGGCCCGGCAGGGCCCGGAGCCCAAGTCTGTTAAATGTGGTGAGGTGCTCAGACAGTACAGCAACGGGAGCACAGACGTGCCAGGCAGGCAGACCCTGATTCCAGCACAGTCGGCGCGGCGCGTAAGGTTGATGCTCCCCTACAAACCATGAGCTACGTTCTTGGGGCATGCGCTCATCGGAGACTCTGGGCCCAGAGAGCCTGATGACTGGAACAAAACCACCCCCTCGCTAGCTCTGCATCTACTACACGCCTGCTCACTGCCCCGCGGGGAGTCCTAGCGGAAGGGAATTGGGGCCTGCAGTTTGCTTCTTCGCCCGCAGCGCTCGGCTCGGGATTCTTAGTGCCTCTAGGGAACTCGAACCCCTGAGAACTGAAGCAGCTTTTCGTTTTCAGCATGTACCAGGGCCCCCTGCTCAATCCACATTTCAGCGGATTCAGGGCAGCAGCCCACTCCGGACGGGGACGGTTTGCTACCACCCGTTACAGCATCTGCAACGAAGCAGGTGGAGACCTCGACCCCTGCAAACTCCGCCAACTTCCGCTGGCATTCCCCACGACGCCTGGGCGAGCTGGTCTGATCTGCAAGAAGCACCCCTCAGACCTCGCAACCTTTCACAAGCGGCTGTGAACAGGCTGGCAGGGGACTACCAGCCACTAATAAGCCCTGCCAACAGGGGTGTGTATCAGTGCGGTTTAAGACTGCCCAGCCGGTGGTGCTGCCTCGGTTTCAGATCAGCCGGGCCTCTCCTTCCATCTCAACCTGCGCGTCGCACACGCCCGTGAAGCTTATCTCTTTGCTGCTGTCGCCGAGGGCCGAGTGGAGGTCGGGACCGTGTACGCCAGAGAAGGGAGAAGGGTGCAGCAAACCACCATCTGTTACTGGCACAGCTCTCCCGCTCATGTACATCCCCAAATCTCTCAGAAGCTGTTTCGGTTTCCTTTTGGCAAATGCCTCCAGTTCTGCAAAGCGGGAGGGAGGATAAATCTAGTATCAACAGGAAAGAACATGACCCTGGGATGGAAGGAGGGGCAGTCTGAGTCCCACATGTTTTCTGGGGTAACACTCCTCTGGTATATATTTAAGCTTTATCCCTAGAGTTTGGCCCAGAGTTTCTGGGGCACGTGCTTCGCACTCAGGACAGAGCACAATGAATAGGGATGCAAAATCCCATTTCATTCGTTAACCGGGAGCAGGCAGGGGCTGCTCCAGTCCAGCTGCTTTTGGCAAAGCAGCAGCCCCACCCAGGAGTCCAGCAGGGCTGGAGCAATCCTCCACCCATGGCAGGCTGTAGGCAAGGGGCTGCTCTCTGGGTATTGTTACCCATTACCCAGCAAGCATCGCTCATTAAGGGTGATGCTTACCCAGTAACTGGTTACCCCTAGTTAGGAAGGGCTGGAACTTGTAGTGACAAAGCCACCAAAACTGCCTTCGGAAAAAACATTCCCCCATTGTCCAAGCTCGGGGGTTTCACCCTGAAACCAAATGAGTACACCCAGCTGATCCGAAGAGATGGGAAAGCCCAGACCACCGGGGTAGAGATGGAGGGTTTCGTGGTGGCCAGAACTTTACTTTTTAAAGATGCTTTTTCAGCCCTAACACGCACATCCATCTGTCCGCTTCTCAGGCAGGTTTTACCCTCTCTCTATTTTTTTGCTCCCGGGGGAAATAATCCTGCTGTTTCTCTAGTTTGGTGTTTATAGAAAGAAAATAGCATTGATCGTCCAGTTCTACAACGAACACACATAATTACCTTCAAATCTGTTTAAGGATGGTTATTAAGGTTATAAAATCAAGCACAGAAAAGTTAAAGGGTTGAATTAAGGTTGCCCAATGGTACCTTAATTCAGCCTCTTCATTTTGTAAATGCATTGTGATACAATCTTTAAAGAGACGATCACCTACTATTTCTTCCACTGGCCCCTGGCCTCCCTCAGTGAATGGGTGGCTATTTGGTACACACCATGCCAACCCTGCACGATTGCTAATTTCCCCCTGTAATATCCGAACCCCTCACAAATATTCGTCGTGTTCTCAGAAACCGTCGAATGTCAGCCCGAGGCAGAGACCAGGCTTGGAAAATTTCAGCCCAAATGGTTCAAGCTTGGCAAAGCCTTAACCAAATGAAAACCAGGGCTGAGGGTGGAAAGTGTTAAACTACCTCAATGAGAGGCCACTCGCTGCCAGCCTGGCTTACAATGTAGTGTGAAACACGTACATTGCACACACACACTTGGCAGCAAGG